GTGACACAGCCACAAAGGACTAGAGTGGAGAGTGAAGCGTCCAGCTGATAAGAGGAGAGGGGATATGCGCAAGAACACCCACACTTGCAGATAATACCCACTTGACCTGGATTCAATGATTGATCAGAGCTCAACCAGAAGAAGAAAGAAGAGGAAAAAAAGCATAATCTGATATAATTTGATGAACTTGACCTACACCTATGGATGCAGTAGCTCAAAAGAGGAAACAAATCCTTACTGCAACAATCATTCCCCATAAGACCACTACTGTAAAAGACTAAGAAAAAGAAATTATACTAAAGGAGGGTAGGGGGAAGTCTTTGTTGGTTGCTGGGAAGTTGGTGATGGGTCGGGGGAAGAGGGGAGGGTGGAGCGCAGGGCGGGGATTGGACACAGGAGAGCTTGGGTGCTGGGGTGGGGGGCAATATACAGAAAGGGAAAGGGAAGTGGAGGAATGGGGCAGATGGGAGAACAATTGGGCATGTTTGAATGGGCTAAGTGGGACAGAAATAAAGGATGATATATGCATAGCCTTGGAACTGCAGGGCTCTGAGATACAGGGATTGAGTCATGGTTGGAATAGGGGGGGAAATCATGTTAAGATGCTTGGCTGTTTTTTTGAATCTTGGCTTTCCTTGCATTATAATATAGAGTAGACACTGGAGGGGAAGAGAAAGGAATAGTTAGAAACATCACACTAGAAGGCTTGTAAGACCGTCTTCTGCCTATGACTGATTGGAATACCTAAAATGGGGCTACAGCGTATCCAGTGAACGAGGCTCCCAGCAGAGCCTTTGCAATACATAAAACTTAGGTAGAAACCTGAACCACATCCAGATCTCCAGAGATGAGAAATCTCCACTTGAAAGGATGAGCAGACCAGCCTGGAGTGGCTAGAAGAACAAAAGATATTTCTTGAAAGAAAGACCTACAGGAAAAATACAAATAGAGGCAGATGGACTGTTACTACAAGAACAAACAAATCGCTTCCCCAGGAAACACCAAGGCGAGTGGTCGGGTCCCCTCAATGCAAACCCCCTTCTAAGACTAAGACTCAACGGAAATACATGCTCTGTTTGGTGACCACACGCATCACCGATAAGGGGAAGTGGGGTAAAAGCAGCAATGAAGCGGCAAGCTAAGCCCTACAATATTCAGTGGGCTTCGGTGGACCCAGTTGGGGACCTGGTTGGCAAGCAGTGTGAGGAGACCTGGAGACTCTTGGGCCCAGAGTCAGTGGCGTGGCCACGGAGGACTCGAGTGGAGAGTAGAGCTACCAGCTGATGGGAAGAGAGGGCATGTGCACAAGAACGCCCACACTTGCAGATGGTACCCACGTGACCTGGGCCGGATGACTGGATGATCATAGCTCAACCAGGAGAAGAAAGAAGAGGAAAAAAAAAAATGAGCCAATACAATCCGATGAACTTGACCTATACCTATGGATGCAGTGACTCAAAAGAAGGAAAAATCCTTACAGCAAGAAACATTCCCACCCCCTCCACACACAGAGTAGACAGAGATGGGCAACTGGACATTGGATACCCAAATGGGGAGGGGACTACAAAGGCAAGAAGTGACTGGCTTACAAGCTTTCAAGAGGGAACCTAGAGCTAGGGTGCATGGAGGAAGGCAGAATCGCCAGTACTATCTAATCTGTCTAGGCGGAGCTGATGAAATGAAATACAGATGGGTAACTCGTGATACTGTAGTGAATAATGGTTATCAGTACTGATTATGAGGGTTGGAAATGCAAAGGTAGACGTTTTGTAGCAAGGAAGGGAGTGATTAATTCTCCAGTCTAGGAGTGGAGGTCTCTAGAACCATCAACGGAGAAGAGCTGAGAGTGGACCCTACCCAGAGAAACAGAGATGCCTGAGATAGAGACAGAGACGATGACGTGGAGTGATGAAGCGGCTGGGGACTCTGGATCCAGAGAGGGAGAGGGACTGTGGGCTGAAGACTGGGTGGTAGGGGGGAGTGTAGGGGGCGGGTTTCTAGGGTATACCCTTTGGTCGGCTGATGATGCATGGAGGGGATTGGAACCACGGCAATGAAATGATATACGATGGAATGAATGTAAAACTAAAGTTCTCTCATGTAAACTATCATATAATTCACAATAAAACATTAAAAAAAAAAAAATCATTCCCACCCCCTCCACACAGAGTAGACAGGGATGGGCAACTTGGACATTGGCTAACCAAAATGCAGGGGGTGGGGGGTAGGCCACAAAGGCAAGAAGTGACTGGCTTACAAGCTTTCAAGAGGAAACCTAAATCCAGGGGGCCTAGTGGAAGGTAGAATCTCCAGTGAGTAATATCCAATCTGACTAGGCAGGGCTGATGAAATGAAATGCAGTTAGGTCTTTTGTGATACAATAGTGAATAATTGTTATCAGGACTGATTGTGAGGGTTGGAAACGTAAAGGTAGACATTTTATAGCAAGGAGAGGAGTGATTATCTTTTCAGTCTAGGAGAGGAGGTCCCTAGGACCATCAATGGAGAAGAGCGGAGAGCGGGACCCTGCCCAGAGAAGCAGTGATGCCTGAGATGGAGGCAGAGATGATGACCTGGAGAGATGGAGCAGCTGGGGACTTGAGATCCAGAGAGGGAGAGGGGCTGTGTGTTGATGACTGTTGGGGGTGGGGTGGGGAGCAGGCTTGCAGGGTATACCCTTTGGTTGGTTGATGATGCATGGAGGGGATTGTAACTATGGTAATGAAACAATGTATGATAGAATGAATGTAAAACTAATGTTCTCCCATGTAAACTATCACATAATTCACAATAAAAAATTTATAAAAAAAAAAGTATCTATAAGGAGGTAAGAACTACAAAAAGGCAGTAAATAGTAACTATAAAACTAACAAGTACAATAACTGAAATGAAAAATTCATTAAAAGGATTAAAGAGCAGACTTCAGTAAAAAGAAAAATGAGGAACAAAGAAACAAAGTTATAATACTTAAGGTTCTGTGTCAATTTGACTGAGCCAGGATTTCCAGTGCTTTAACAGTTAAGATAAAGAAGTTTCCCATGATTCGCTCTGCTATGAGCAGTCCATCAATTGAAATGAAGCCTCCTTAGGGATTATGGCCTGCTTCTAATATATTGGTCATTCAGGCAAAGTTTCCTTCCTTTTCTCCTGGGTCTGGATTCTGCATCTGGCTTGTCATCCAATCTATGGTTCTTTGGAGCTGAGCCAGTACAGTAGCCTGTTCTATCGTCTGTTGATCCTGGAAGTTGTCAGCTGCTGATCATTTTACCTGCCCAGCCTGTCTGACATGCTGATCTCAATTCATCAGCCCTACAGCTGTGCCAGTCAGAAGGCCACCTGACCAATGGACCTAAGATATGCCCACTTATACAACTGTGTGAATCATTTCCTTGAATAAGCTTCTCTTTATATATACATATATATGCTTAACTGATTCTGGAGTAGCAAAATCTAAAGGATGGGTTTCCTATATTGGTTTTACATCTCATTATTCCTGGTGTGGCGCTATAGGATTAGCATTAGACTGCGAACCACAAGGTTGGCAGTTCAAACCCACCAGTTGCTCCTTGGAAAAAACCTATACAGGGTTGTTATGAGTCATAGTCGATTGAATGGCACTTAACAAGAATAACAACAACAGTTTTAATGGCACTGAAAACTCTGCTTCCATTAGTAAAGAGGATGCTGCTAATCCATGGAATGCGGTGGCAATGTTAACACAAAAGACATTCCTACCTATAGATCACGTATTAGGGATATGAGAGACTCTTGGTGATAGTGTGTTTGATACTTTAACAAAATCTTATCAGGATGAGAAGAAGTATAGGGAAGCTGGTTGATATTCCTACTGACAACAGATGAACGTGTAAAGGAAAGAGACCAGCTCATGGTGTTGGAGCTACAATTCTACCAATGTATAAAAGACCTTAAACTTTGTACTTATGTCCTACAAAAGTGCATTATTTTTTCTAATAACAAAACTGATACTGCCAAAAGCCAAACCCAGAGTCTTATTGTAAGAGTGGCTGAATTATACCACCAACAGAATTCCCATTCTTGAATGGTGTCTGATGTTAAAGGGAGAGCAATATTGGAAAGACATTGAATACTGAAACTTGGACTGGGAATATATTATCAGATAATTAGAGAGTTCTATTGGCTCTGCAGTGTAAGCACTGAATTGCAAACCACAAGGTTGGCAGTTCAAGTCCACCAGTTGCTCCATAGGAGAAACATGGATGAGGCTTTCTGCTCCAGCAAAATATTTCAAGCCTCGGAAACTCATTACAGGGTCACTATGAGTTGGTACTTAAAATCCAGTAACAATCAGGAAGCTGGGGACACTGAGCATCTAAATTCTGCTGAATCACTCTTGCTAAGAGAATCTCTACTCCCATTCTTTCAAGTCAGAGAAAGAGTGTTGAAACCCCTGAGACACCCATCAAGTCTAGAATGGAACTCACTGAAGGGGAACAATTTTCAGGCAAATACTAGAAACAGTAACACTAGGGAGGTACCTACACCTTATCATAATCAACCACTTGAGATCAAAAAGGAACAGCATTGATCTAATTGCAAGGTTCACAAGGTTAGGAAAGAAAGAGAAATGAAAACCAAAAGGAAGTAGGATAAGTGATATTACATTTTAAGGACTTTAATTAAAGATGTGATTAAAAAAAAGTGTAAGATTTGTTAAATGAAAAACTGATTTACTCTGTAAACCTTCACCCAAGTCACAATAAAATGTTAACGAAAAAAATTATCTCATGATAAAAAAATTGTAATGTTTGTAAGAAAAGAAACAAATGACCAAGATGATTAGCACCAAAGAATATGAGAGTAGAAAAACAATCAGAAAATTATAAAATAAATGCATATTAAAGTATACAATAAATATAAACCAAGACACTGATGCTATGCTTTCAGACATGATTTACTTAAATAGAAACAGAAGAGATAAATGTAAACATATAAAAAAATTAATTTGTAAAATAGCTTACCTGGATACAAATTCACTTAATTCTGAATACTCTGTGGGCTCCACTATTATGTTCAGGTCAGTAATAACAGAAGATAAAGTCTTCTCATTCTAAAATAAAGTAAAATATACTTTTAAAGTCAGATCCTTACTCCATACCAAAAATCCAAATGAACTTCAGATGAAACACTTACTTGAATGTAAGTACTGAAACCATAAACTACCAGGGGAAAATATAAACATTAAACTGATTACTGAGTGAGGAAGAATTTCCTAATATATAAGTAAGTATGAGTACACATCACTATCACTCCAACATAAGCCTGAAGGCAGTCGGCTCTAGATCTGTGGGGGTCAACAAACCTGGCTTCTCCAATAAAGTGCTTGGAGGCACCCCACTGAAAGTCACTGAACTTTATTTGCTCTATGGGCTAGGAAGCCCACTGCTCTGGCTCTTGGTTTTTGCTGCTGCTCCTCTGCCACTCCTCCAGTGTCAGATTTCTGCTCCTGGATTGAGACGATTCAATGCACAGGGATCTTAGGTCCAAAGGGTGCACTCCACTCCTGACTCTTCTTGGATGATAGCGAGAGTCCCATCCACCACTCACCCCTGCTTTTGAGATGGCTCTTTTTATACCCACATTAAAGTCCTAAACTTTGGAAACCAGAATTAGCCATAATAACAATCATTCACAACTGAATTATATAATCAATCCATCAGCATTTTGCCCCACCTTCTATTACACAGACCCATCAAAAGTTGTTTGGTGGAATTTTACAAAGGCGATGGGTAAAAAAGATATGACATGATACACTACACTGCAAGTCCAATGAGAACTGCTAAATTAACTGTTAATTTGGCCTGTAAATTCAGGGTTTAACCTCTAATAAATTTTCTTAAATTATGTATTTATATATTATTTAATATTTTCTATTGCTGGTTTAAAAAAAAAAAACTTTTTAAAGTTAATCCACAAATTAGCACTTCATTGTCAATCTTCCAGATTTATTATTGCTGTTGTTAAGTGCTATCAAGTCAGATCTGACTCAGCAACTCTGCTGAGGAGCAGCTGGTAGGTTTGAACAGCATTTCAGTGCTGATCCTACAGTGCCACACCAGGAGTCTTCTTTTTAATTGCTATTATAGATGACTTTTCTCAAATCTGTCCTCCATATTACAACTCCGTAATATTTCTAATGTAGCTTTTATTACTGATTTTATACTTCCTTTATTCTTTTTTCCCTTAGCTCTCATTTTCTCTCCATTTCTTTTTGTTGAGAGTAATGAAAGTTTTTATTTAGCTTAAAATTGTACTTCCTGGACTAATTCTTTCAAAATAAATTTAAATGCATTTACTCATTTTCATCCTTTCTATGGTAATATTTTGCTAATGTCTAACATGATGTTTACAGAATGCTGTAATACTGTTTTAGATTCCTAGTGCCACAAGTCGGTGGCTTTAGAGAAGAAAATTTGGCTTTTCAAGTTATAAAGGCTAAACATATACAAATGAAATCTCAGCAATGACAATTCCTTGTCTGTAGCTCCAGATGTTCCACCTGGCCCATCTTCCTCAATGTCTGTGCCTCTTTGTCTATTCTGCTATGTTCCTAACTTAGAAGTGCTTAGATTTAAAATTTTCCTTACTCAGCATTTGGAGTCCTGGTATGGAGTTGTGGGTAAATGCGCTAGACTGAAATGTTGGTTTTAAACAAAAGGTCAGTGGATCAAGCTCAGAATTACTAATACAGGGTGTCACTGTGAGTCAGAATGGACTTGAAGGCACTTAACAAATAACAACCACTGGGTACCACCTAATTAACATAGCAAAAAAAACCCTATTTCCAAATAGAATTACATCCACAAGTATGTTGTTGTTGCTGCTAATAAGTGCCACTGAGTTAGTTCCAACTCATAAGGTTTAGAAATTTTAGCACATACATATTTTGGCATGGGGCAGAGTGGTGGGTTGTGGACACATGGCCATAATTTAATCTATAACATCCCATGCTTCTCATTGAAATTGTGTGCCGTAAAGTTGTTTCCAACACATGTTGTTGCAGTTAGGTGCCATCAAGTCAGTTCTGACTCATAGTGACCCTATGTACAACAAAATGTAGCACTGAATGGTCCTATGCCATCCTACACTTGAGCTCATTGCAACTGTCACTGTGTCATTCCATATCGTTGACAGTTTTCCTCTTTTCCGTTGACCCTCCACATTACTAAGCATGATGTCCTTCTCCAGGGATGGGTCTCTACTGATAATATATCTGAAGTATGAGAGATGGAGTTTCACCATTCTGGTTTCTAAAGAGCATTCTAGCTGTACTTATAACAACACAGATTTGATTGTTCTTCTAGAAGTCCATGGTACTTTTAATATTGTTTTCTAACACCACAACTCAAATGTGTCAGTTCTTCTATGGTCTTCCTTATTCACTGTCCAACTTTCAATGAGGTTACTGAAAACACCATAGTTTGAGGTCACCTTAGTCCTCAAACTGACATCTTTGCTCTTCAACACTTCAAAGAGGACTTGTGTATGCCTAATGCAATACGTTATCTGACTTCTTGATTGCTACTTCTATGAGTATTGATAATTGATCCCAGCAAATTGAACTCTCTGACAACTTCAATCTTTTCTCCATTTATCATGATTTAATTACTGGTCCAGTGGTACAGATTTTTGTCTTCTTTGCATTGAGGTACAACCCATACCGAAGGTTGTTGTCCTTGATCTTCATCAGAAGTATTTCAAGTCCTCTTCACTTTCAAAAACATGGTGGTATCATCTGCATATCGCAGATTGTTAGTAAGTCTTCCTGTAATCCTGATGCCCATGATCTTCTTCATATAATCTAGCTTCTCAGATTATTTGCTCAGTATATAGACTGAATAAGTATGGTGAAAGAATACAACTCTGGAACACAGCTTTCCTGATTTTAAGCCATTCAGTGTTCACTTGTTCTGTTTAATGACTGCCTTTTGGTCTGTGTACAGATTCCTCATGAGCACAATTAAGTGTTCCAAAATACTCATTCTCTGCAATGCTGTCCAAGGCTTGTCAAGATCCACAGTTAAAAGTCTTTCCATAGTCAATAAAACACACGTAAATATGTTTCAGGTATTCTGTTTTCAGCCACGAACCATCTGATATCAGCAATATCTGTCATTCCATGTCTTCTCCTAGATCCGACTTGAATCTCTGGCAGGGCCCTGTTAATGTACTATTGCAGCTGTTTTTTGAATAATCTTTAGCAAAATTTTACTTGCATATGATCTTGATGATTTCTGCATCCCACTTGGTTACCTCTCTTTGGAATAGACGCAAATATGGATCTCTTTCAATCAGTTGATATATTACTTTGCGAAGGAGAGTAACTGCCATCAGTGTGTTGAAATTGGAATTGGTCATGCTCTCCGGAGTCTGAGTGGAGGTCCCTCAGTCATGGATATCAACTATGTCTTCAGAGCCCAGCAGGGCATCAATGCCATTCCTCTGCCTTTAAGTGTCCCAATTCTGTAGCTGGTCAACCTGACGCCACAACCTCAGTACCTGGCAGTTCCATGTTCCTGGTTCACAAACATGGCAGCACCACCTCAACTTTGGGTGGCAGCCCCACATTCTAGAACCTATTAGATTTAGAACCCAGTTGATGAAGGGATAAACTAAATGTGATATATCCATGTAATGGAATGTTTTTTAACCATAAAAAAGAAGGACAATGAACAGACACGTCATCAAGGAAGAGATTCGGGTAACCAACAAACATATGAAGAAATGTTCACAGTCACTAGCCAATGTTGTTGTTGTTGTTAAGTGCCAGTCGTTAGAGAGATGCAAATCAAAACAACAAGGAGATATCATCTCACACCAGCAATAACAGCGAAGTTCAAAAAAGCAGAGAGCAAGAAATGCTGGTGAGGAAGCGGAGAGACTGGAATCCTCCTACATTGCTGGTGAGATTGCAAAATGTTCCAATCACTCTGGAAAACACTATGGCACTTCCTCAGAAAGTTGGAAATAGAAATACCTTATCATCCAGCAATTCCTCTACTTGGTATTTACCCAAAAGAAATATGAGCCATAACACAAGTAGATATATGCACACCAATGTTCACAGCAACACTATTTACAACAGCAAAAAGATAGAGACAGCCTAAGTGCCCATCAATGGAAGAATGGGTAAACAAACCAGTACATACACACAATGGATTATTATGCTACCTTGAAGACTAACAAGGAAACTGCAAGCCACCACATAACATGGATGAAACTTGAGGACATTATGCTAAGTAAATTAGTCACAAAAGGAAAAATACTGCATAGGACCATTATTGTAAAAGCTTAAGAAAAAATATTCACATTAAAAGGGGGGTAAAAAAAATCCCTTGTTGGTTACCGGGATACAGGGAGTGGGGCAAAAGGAGGGAAGGGAAGGTGGAGCACAGGGTAGGGAATAGACACACAATAGTTTGGGTGTTGAGGGAGGCAAATACACAAGATGGGGAAGGGGAATGGAAGAACAATATGGATGGGAGAACATTTAGGTAGGTTTGCATGGGCTAAGTGGGACAGAGTGATGTATGTAAATAGTGATGTATGCACAACCTTGGAACAACAGAGCTCTATGATACAAGGATTGAGGAATGGTTTGAATGGGTAAAAGAGAGGAAATAATGTTAAGATGCTTGACTGTCTT